TTGCACTGCCCACTTTTCATTTACATTTAAGTGCCCAGATTGTAGATGAATCCACATATTCAGAAGAAATTGAAATGAAGGACTCCATGGATTGCCATTTGATAAGTTTCCTGACCATTGTTGACCAAACCCTCATGACTGACTGTGACCCACACTTCAGACTGACTTGGCAGGGCTGCTCTGATTGAGCACAGCCCAGCCTCTGGATTGATGTCTCCACTGCATCCTAGTGGATGGACCTACAATAGCAGTTCTGCTTACATTTGACCTGCAATTACTGACTGTGAACCAATCCCTGACTGCAAGGATTTGGATCCTCTAACACTGGGAGGACAAAAGTGCCCGAGTGAGTGCGGCCAATCCCTTAGACTGGAATCGGATGAGCTTCTTGACTGACTATGGCATTACCCCTTACCTGGCTGTAATCGCCTTTCACCCTACTAAGGACTACTCACCTTTGATTTCCACATATGGCCATTTTCTTGAAGCACATGCATTTTGGGCACATGCTATAGGTGTAATGTTGACTTAACATGGTGTCACACTGTGACCATTCCTTAATTACTCCGTGCTCTCCAATAGCACAAACTGTTTGAACTCCTATCTGACTCTTCATTCAAAAGCCATACAAGAAAAAATGGCTGGTGACCTGTAACTTAGCACAGAGACCCTCTGTGCTTAAAAGTAATACAAGCTGCACAAAGGCTGGCAGCCAGAAGTCAATGCTTATGTCAATGAGTGTGTACTAAGGAAACAATGTGAAGCAGGCTTAAGTTGGCAGCCTCCAAGTAAGCTGTAAAGTGAATGAGCGCCAAGAAATTAAGTTGGGAGCCCAAGGATGCATGGGTCCATGTGAGTGCAAAAGCATCCTATGTAGGTATATCAGATGCACATCTCTACCTACACACAGTGCAGCCTGGCAAATGCATGCAAGTCATTCGTGTTCCTGAGCTCCAAACTAAAGTGTCAAAGGACTCACGTGATGAGCATGATAATTTGAGAGTTGCCACCATGACATGGTGGGGCCGGTGGTTTTCTGGTGCTGACTAGCGTAGACGAAATGCCACAGAGGATGGGTACCAAGTAGAATGTGGAGATATTGTTGTAAAGAGGCAGTTGATTGATGGCCAGGACAAGCATTCGGCTAGCTGCATGAACTAGGTACCTTCTCTGATTTATATTGTTGAAATTTTCACAGTCCGGTTTCTCAGTGGAAAACAGGAGAATTGGAAGTGACATACGAGAGAATTTGAAACGTTTTGTCTGTAACTCAAGAATTTGATTTTCTTTCATTCTCATCATATTTTTGCACCTTTTTCACCGTTACTCACGTCACACCATGGAAGGGAAAATTCTACTCACGGATTGGTTGCAAGGACTGCCTTAATCCTTGAAAAAATGGTTAACTGAATGAAAGGGGAAGTATCTCCATGTATCTTGTCACTATCTATTTGTTTTTCCATCTTAAACTATCTGTCTGACACTGCTTAGTGTACTCAGGAACTGTGAAAGGAGTGACCATGTTAATTATCCACACAATAGACTTCACTTGGCAGAGTGAAACCTGAAAAGATTGAAGAGTAAATAAAAAATTGTTGAGGTCTGGATATCAAGGCATTGACATTTAATGCTTCTGTCCTCAATATTTGGTTGGATACTTAGCTCATAACCCATAGATCACAAACAAACAGATTTTTAAGCATGAGAGGTAGTAGGAACTGCAGATGCTGGAGAATCCGAGACAACAAGGTGCAGGGCTGGATGAACACAGCAGGCCAAGCAGCATCATAGGAGCAGAGAGGCTGACGTTTCGGGCCTAGACCCTTCATCAGAAAAGGGGGAGGGGAAGGGGGTTTTGAAATAAATAGGGAGAGAGTGGGAGGCGGATAGAAGAGGGATAGAGGAGAAGATAGGTGGAGAGGAAACAAACAGGTCGAAGAGGCGGGGATGGAGCCAGTAAAGGTGAGTGTAGGTAGGGAGTTAGGAAGGGGATAGGTCAGTCCAGGGAGGACGGACAGGTCAAGGGGGCGGGATGAGGTTGGTCGGTAGGAGATGGAGGTGCGGCTTGAGGTGGGAGGAGGGGATAGGTGGGAGGAAGAACAGCTTAGGGAGGCAGGGACGAGCTGGACTGGTTTTGGGATGCGGTAGGGGGAGGGGAGATTTTAAAACTTGTGAAATCCACATTGATACCATTGGGCTGCAGGGTTCCCAAGCGGAATATGAGTTGCTGTTCCTGCAACCTTCGGGTGGCATCGTTGTGGCACTGCAGGAGGCCCAGGATGGACATG